AAGTTCTTCGTGCTTGATCGTTTATTTCTGAAAATCGCAGCTATTTCAATCAAAATGAGTCATTTTCTAAAAATCGCAGCTATTATTAATAGAATAAATTGTATCAATTGTCTCTCAACTTTAACTTGTAATGGGCCCTCAACTAAAAATTTATGACGGTTGGTCCCTTTAACTCCTCAAAACCTGTAGCTATAGTCATTTTCTTCAACTCCATTAGAACTTCCGTCAAAATGAGTCACATGTCACGCACATGAGACTGAATCAAGGGGCAAATATGAAAAACTAAATGAGAAAAATTGTAGCAATGATTCCTTTGACTTTAACTCAACTAGAAAAATGGTGCTTCAACTTTAATCCAATTAGAGCAATTGAATTAAAGTTGATGGACCATTACTACAATTTTCTCTTATTAATATTATTATTAAGAAAATTTAGGGAATGGGGAGTTTCGAACATAGGACGTACTAGTAGAAACTCAACACTCTTTCACTAGTATCTCTAATTGTATGTAAGTATCTCCAATTCTTCACGCTTATACGACGGATTTTCAACGTAATGAGCGACAGGTTTTCAACTAATGATGAGGGAAATCTAGCAAAATGATATGCTTAAAAAGTGTTAGATCTAAAGTAAATTCGCACTCGAAAACGATGATTAAAGATATTCGTATGAGTCATGCGCGGCACTTTAGGTGACACATGCTTCATTTTGTAAACGACATGGATTCTTGGATTCTTGCTTTATTGCATGGCTTTGGCATCTCATAAGTAGTATTCTCTAAAAGCTAATTACTTCTTGATCAAGTCAAAGCCTAATGGTCAAGCATATGCTCATTACTCTACTACTGTCGGACAACGACGTTTCAAGTTAATAATGTTGCCGGCAGACCTGAGCGTAGTCAAGTTGTGTAAATTGGCTATAAAGTTGACACAAAAGTCAAAGAAGCTTTAGAGAACTCGGCTGAAAATTCAAATTATGTAATGAACGTATCAAACATCAGTTTATTGCCAGTGAACATTACATCGGAGATTCAAAATGTTACAAATATTACAAAGAAACTTCCTCGCCGCGCTTAGAATGTGGTTTAGGGATTCCGTCCAGTTTCGGTTCAAGGTCCGGCATTTCCCGTCTCTTTGTTTCTTCGTCGGATCGCATTTCTCATCTCACAGTAGAATAGGTAATGAACTCCCTTGAAGTAAACTGAAACGGCTGATGTGGAATAGGGTTCCTGCGGTGCACATTTTAAATGAAATAAATTTTAAAAAAAATTCACACTATTTCTCATATCAGTAATCAGTGAGCAAGAAAAGATAAGGAGACGCACGGTCGAGGGCCGTAAACTTTGATCTGGCGAACGTGAGTGTCTCTCCCATTCAGGTGATTCGATAACACAGAGATTTGCAACATAAAAGTGTTGACAAAAGTTTCCCTGCCAAACATATTTGCACAGAAGATTTCAAAACTCGAACGATAGTCTAATAAATTGAACATGACCACCATCTATTTTTGCAAATGTTTCTTTAAGCATATCATCATCATTCATCAAGCAAATCGGATGCAAGCTTATCTTACTGTCATGTCCTTGAACCACATTGAAAGGAAATGGAACGATCACTTGTTCGATTTGTTTGTCTTAGATTCATATCACGACTTTTGTGCTATCGTAAAATGAAATAAGATGTCATTTAACCCAATTTGTTTCCCAAAGGGAGAACAGTTACGTTCTAAATATTTTTCAATTAAGTATTAGATATCAGATCAAGAAGACGAATTGGACAACTAACTTTTGAATTGTTAACAACAATATCCTACCCATCATTCATGTAAGCCCTTCCAATGCAACCTTGTCAAGCCACTACTCACCAAGATATAAATTCGAGCACAGATGGAATGACACAACAATGCATTGTAATCAAAACAATACAGAAACGACATGTAGAAATATGCATGACTACAAATGCTCGAAAACAAACAACGGTTTCACTGCATACCTTGGATCATTTCCAGACAGTGATATATGAACCCAACCCGTTGGCTTATCAAGCTCCACAGTTTTTATGTCCTACAATCATTTGCAGCAAGATAGCCAAAAGTTAACCAAATTGGGTCTATGCCAGCATCACAATGCAGTATATTACGAAAGATAATATATGAACAATTAACTGTTTTTCTTTTTGGTACAAGCAACATTCTAAACTACTCTAATCTATAAGAATTTCAACTCGGGGTACACTGACTTGGCCGACTTGCCTAATTCACAATTGCAAATAATTCACTGTTCAAACCAACTAACCAAGCATAAAAGCACCCAGAAGAGATAAACACACTACCTTCAAGTTGTGAAAGCCGTCGCCGGCTCGGATTGAGATCTTACACGGCGTATAGCTCTCGTCAAGCTTGAAATCCACATAGAGAACAACAAGCTGAAATTTATTTTTGGTGGGAAAATAAAAAACCATCAGTCAAAATTAAATTTTGGATTTTTAAACAACTGAAAAATTGGAACTTTCAGACGTACTTGGAGCTTCACTTTCCTCTGGAATTGAATGTTCACCAAATGAGGCTGCGCACCGTCGGATCTGCAAACCAAGAACAAACAAAATTAAAGTTCAAAGATTTCAAATTTTTTAGGGACTGAAAAAGGGAAAGGGGAATTGAAGCAGAGACTGCCAGTAGGTGTCGAGATTGTCGTCACGGAGAGACGAGACGCCATTGCCGGCCTTGCAGGAGCTGACGCTCCAAGCAGCCTTCTTGCCCATTTCTCTGAGATCGTCGTCGACTACCAGCAGCTGGTGCCCTCCCGTCAGCTTCGCATCCTCTTCTCCCTCCGATGACTCCGTCGCCATTGCCTCCTCTTCTATGATTGATTCTTTGAACAGGAATTAGAAGAAAAAGAACCCTAATTTGATCGAGTTCCTAAAACCCAAAAAAGCCTAGCTGGATAGCAGAGAAACCAATCAAATCAAAACCCTAAATCCAAAATCCGCAAAAGTGAAGTGATTACCTCGGTGAGGAATTTGAATTGTTTCAGGGGTATGAATGAAAAAAAAGGAGAAGTTTTTGTGGCGCTGGTTAAATTGGCCGTTTTTATGGGAGAAAAAATTGAATAAAGCAAAATTTTGCGCTAGAGGAAGGGCTTGAACCTTCGACCTTGTGGTTAACAGCCACACGCTCTAACCAACTGAGCTACTCCAGCTTTTATTATTTTATATTATCCCGATATAGTTTTCAATAAACAGTATGTAGATGCCCATTTTACTTTCTAACAAAGGTCCACCGAAACAATTGTTCTCTTCAACTAAAGTCAATAAGTTACTTATCATTTGCATGTCTTTGACAAATTGACATTCCAAAAAAGTTTTCATGCACTCGTTCTTCACTGTACGAGGAACATAGAGAGTGTGTCGGAGCATGTTGAAATGTCACTAACAGCTCTCTATCATGTAATAGTTGGAGACTTGCCAATAACTAGTAGAGGGTGAATGAGATTAGAGTTAACGATCTAATGGGTTAAATTGCGTGGGAATATATGGCCCACAGGTTACTAGAAATGAAATCGCATCTCGTTTGATTTGAAAGAATGTGTTAATCAAAGAAATAACCAATGCTTGAGATTGAGAAAAGAGAACTTAATCAAATGCATCTTGTGAAATAAAATTTTATCTTGTTGGATTTTTTTATTTGTGTTCGAAACAGTTGATAAGTGATTGGGCGTGGAATACTTCATGTCAGAGAGCTGGGAGTTTTAACATCTTCCTTCTCAAAACTGTCAACAGGATCCGCTCTGGATCCCTTTAGCGAGGATCCTGGGGATCCGTGAATTATGTTCGTTTATCGTATATCGTGCAATCAGTTTTTGTCAGGTACTATTTGTGTTTAATTTTAAATAAAAATATTTAAAATGTACGATGAACGAACACGATTCACAGATTCCAAAAATTCAGCCCGGATTCTCAAAACTGTACCTTTTCCCATTGAACTTCACCGACGCTTGCTATTTTAGAGCACTTAACCCAGGCAACCAGCTGACTAATGCATCTCCAAGTATCAACTTACCATCAACTGCGTGACAACATACAAAGAAGATAAAAATCTGATCCAGCACCAGCGCCTGCACATTGAAGCTCCGGCTCCTGAGCTTCTGAAGCCGTCCTGATACGACCGCAAGAGCGTAGCAGGATTGTCTTTCCCGGCTCATTGTTCATTGGTTTAACTGAAACAAACGTGAAACCTCACAAAACCTTACAAAACCAGGCAAATTATAATGACAAAAGGTAAGCGCATCAAATAACATCCCACGACTTTGCTGAAATCTAGAAACCCGATAAAAAAAACCTATGTGAAAATTGGTATATGATTACAGAAGCCTGTCAACTCCCCACCGTATTTACCTGCAACGTGAGGATACTTTTGTTGGAAATTTGAGTAGTTTGAGTAGAAATTTCTTTGTCCCACATTGGTCATTCTCAAAAGATTTTATCACTTTATAAGGCTTTGTCCTTTATAAAAAGTTATTGGAGTAATAAGCCTAAAGAATAAAAATGAGCTCACCTTTGATGTTGGGCTTTGGGGTGCACTAATTAATTGGTAATGGGCTCTAATAATTAAATTATTTAATTAATTATTTTTGGATTTAATTAATTTCGAATTTAATTAATTAATTTTTTTTACCAACCGACTCATCCTCTCAGATGAAGTCTGAAGAGTTCAGAAAGAACACAGACCAAAGCACCCCTCTAGAGAAGATGTCTCCCAACAGACATCCTATTCTCATACTTGTTGCGAGCATCCTTCTATTATATAGACATCCATCTGCATGACATTTAGAACACAGAAAAATCAATATTCTTCTTCTGCAATTATAAACATGCTTTCTGAGAGAACCACACAGAAATTCGCCAGAAGTTAAGTTTTCCGGTGCTGGAATTCTAACTTAATCGTTGAATCCTGGTGAAGCAGACGTCTGTAGAACTACAAGCACTGAGTAGGGACGAAATTTCTGTTTCAAGGACATTGCGGTACGCAAGCCTCGATCTTCAATTTTTCTATTTACATTTATTTCGTTGTTCATACTCTGTTCAATAAATTTTATACTCACATTTATTGTTTATTAGCATATATATAATTAAATCACAGATTGTATCCAACAACTTTTCCTCACTTTTTAAGAACCACAAAGCGCTCCAGCCTAGAAGCAATTAGTCTTACCCGGCGGAAGAGATTTGGAGACGCTATGGCATAAGAAGCAAACCGCCAGAGAGGCTTCAATTCTTCTTTTTCGGTGCATGGGAACTGGTTTTTGAGAACATGGACATTTTCTTTCCAAAGAATCCTGAAGTCTTTGATGATTTCTTTTCAGTAGAGCAATTTCCATCGTCTCTGGATGCATCAAGGTCAGCAGATCCAGAGCATTCCTGCTCATCGGCATATTTGAAGTCTCTTAAGAGCCGTCGCACTTCCAACGCACTTGTCTTTGCTCTCTCTGTCCCTTTGTTAGATAAATTGACAAGCGATGGGATAACACCCTCGTGCATGACCAACTGACAATATTCATCGCGCTGAGAGCATAAAGAAACGAGGATATCAACGGCATGCTCTTGGTCCTCACTGCTGCCTGTCTCGAGGAGTTCAGCAATAGAAGCAATGCATCCATGTGTTTCAGCAATCGAAATCCTGGCCTCTTCTGTATCGGACAAATTTTTAAATATAGAAATGCAGACTCCCGAAAGAACGTCATCTTTCAAGAAAGAAACCAATTTTGGTATGCACTCCAAAGATACAATTTTTGAGCAAATGTCCTTAGATAAGGACAAGTTACGCAAAATCTTAACGGCTTGTCCTTGTAAATCTTTGTTCTGGGAGTCAAGGAGTTTTAGAATGGATGTAAGTGCACCAGATTCTGAGATCTTAGACCCGCAATACTGGTGGCCAGACACAACTTCCAGTATGGCAAGAACTTCTTCGGTTACCTTTGAATCAAGATAATATGCCAGCAGATTATATGCCTCTTCGCGTAGATACGGTATCCCATTTCTACAGTAGGCAGCAAAAACGAAATTAAAAGAATCTAATAAACAACTGCAGTATGGATTTGATGCATAAAACAGTTCACTAGACCACAACTTAGGCATGCAAGAGTAATGAATTCCCAGCTACAAAATAAAAAAATTACCTGCTTTTGCTCACAAGGGTCATTAATAATTCCAATCCATCCCTCTGAGCTTTTACATCGTCCAGGTCATGTGCCTCCCTCAAAAATTTGATGAGAGGTTCACCAAAATTCTCAGATGAAATAGCATAGGAAGCTTGAGGATTGCATTTCAAATGGTTTTTGACATCTTCGACATCCTTGCACTGGGATTCCCATTGGAGTTCACCAAGTTCAGATAGAAATTGTACACCTGTCTCGCGTTTTTTAGCATTCTGGTAGTTCAGAGAATCATTGTCGTTCTGCGCCAAACTCAAGCCATTTTCAATCTTATTGCGCGATGAGTCTGAATTGTAACTGGTATCTAAGGACCCAAACGATATATTGCTGAAGTCCATCTGTAGGTGAAGATCATTCATAGAGCTGCCTAAACTAGCAATGGAAGTGGACGAGGTTTCCCATGAGAGGGCTTCTGGTTGCACACTTGGGTCAGGAAGGGCAACTCCGTTCTGTGTACACCAACTTGATATTAACTCCTTCATGGTAATGTTCGGAGTCAATGACAGGTTGTTTAGTTTCATATTAGTTTTTGGGCATGTATCGTGACCCTCATCAAACCACTTCTGTATCCACATCCTTTCATATGTTAGTCCAGAAGCAATGACAACAGGATCGTACATCATTCTGGAAGATATTCTGCACATAAATGCTTCAGGAGGTACAGCTCCACGAAACAAGTTACTTTGTGCCTTGGACTTGCCATAACCAACGGGAGATTCAATTTCAGCGTGTTGATTAGATTCAAAACCATTTCCAGAATTCTCAGGAACAAATGATACTTGTTGCTGCTCTGAGGCACTCTCTGTTTGCTTTCCCGTTATCAACTTTCCATGCTTATTCAATAGATACATGAAATAAGTCAAAATCTGTTTTTTTCGAGTTTCATTGTCACCAACTTTATCTAGCAGCTTCTTAATAGATCTTTTCTCCATTAAGATTGCCTTCGATGATGTAATATGGAGCCTAAAGGATGCAATTTGAAGAGCCTTGATTTCAGAATCCTCCCTTTGGTTTGATCGAGAAGAATCACTATGAAGCAATTCTCGAACAACCCTCCCTGCTTCTTCTTCAGATGGGTCCAGTATAAATGATGCACCTTTAAGATCATCAGCTATTTGAGAGATCTGCAAATGACATTTCATCAGCATCTCAACCAAATAACTGAGACTTAATTGGTATGAACCAACATAAAAAATTATAAATTATATGACACAGATCATGGTGACTTCGAGCCCAGCCGACTTTACTTTTAAACAAAAAGCCCCAAATCATTAACAAAATATGCTTCCAGAAAAGAAAAAACAAAGGCTAGGACGTCAAACCTTCAACATTGTTTTGATAGATGGATAATATCTATAAAGGTTTGACTTGAGCAATGATACTGTTGCATGCAGGTCTATGCCCAGCACCCCAATCTAAAGGGATTTGGATTGTGGGAAAAGGAATTACAAAAAGATCATGCAAATTTTAGTAGGAAAAAGGGAATGTAAGTTGACGAACCTGAATCACCAACATCATTGGAACCCAGTTCTGAATTTGCCGTAAACTTTGCTCCAACAAGTTTCTTGACTTTTGACATCTTAAAACTATCACATCCCCAGTAAATGCCTGCAAGTCAACCGCAGAATGACTGGTAGGTACACAGTTCATATTGGATAAACCGTAATGACAAAACTAAAGAAATTCCTTGATTATGCATTTCAACACAGCTAAGCCGTTGGCGTTGGAGAAAGCTTCATAAAGAGAGTTTCTCAAATGTAAGTTTCATTGGGAAACATGACTATATAATGCAGAAACAATTCTAGAGGTTTTCTAGAAAAGAAAAAAAAAACATCCTAAAAAGGGATGCAGTAGGGAGCAATTGCAGCTGCCGTTCCAGCAACTAATTTCAAAAATAATTTTTTTAAATATTTGAATAGCGATTTACAATATTGAGCCATTTAGAGAGAGAGAGAGGGAGAGAAACAGAATTCATCTCACTCCATGTAATTTCTTACACTAAATCATCCAAAGGTACAAACCAGGTAGAGTTTACTAGACTCGCTGCAATGCTGAAGAAGCAGCTTGGCTTTCTCAATTCCACTATTTAACAAGCATAGAGCCTGTATTCCTGTTGAGCAGCGAGGTCGAGCTGCTTCTATCTCTGGAAATATCCTGGAGATTTTATCTACCAACCTCAGAAGTTCCGTGCACATTAAACGATGAACCTGTTACCATGAATAACAATTATGTAAAAATTTCTAACTAATATGACTAAACAATTAAATAAGTACACTTAAAAAGTTTAAGGACACATAATCTCAAGTATGAGGTTCCTCAGAGTATCCATTAGAATTACAAGGAAACATGATCATTGTCACTTTCTTGAAAGTAGATCTCAGTTAAATACATCTTAACATCTCTTTTTTTTTTCCACACAATTGCAGAAATAGCGTAAGGGTAATATTCTGTTATCTTGAAGAAAGATCAGTAATTTCGTGGTTTTTCTCGTCCCACGTTTTATATTTGCCAACAGCACCATATTATCTCCTTCCAAAAATCAGCTATTGGTTGTAAAAATAGTCATGCCTTTACCAACGGGGACAGATACCAAAAAAACGACAAGCTGTGTATAAATTTGGACTTCATATTTCATACATCAAATACAAACTAGAACAATTCACAATTTCATTAGTTTGGTTAAGAAGAGTTGTCCCTTGTTGTAAGTGACAAAAGTTGATCAGAAATCGATGCAATGAATGCATCTTCAAAATTAAACATCGCATATGCAACAAAATAAGAGACTTATTTAGCATTTTATACCTTAAAGGAATGATGTTTTCTCGCTGCCTCCACCACTTCAGCAGCACCGTTACCCATTTGAGAGAAATTATCTCATATCTGGGCATTCAATAAGAAAAAGATGGTTACTTTCATGTGTTTGTAACATATTATGAAAACAATCTAATATTCCATAAACGTCAATCCATATGCAAAACGATGTGAATTCAGGCACAAGTTCGGAGCAAACCCAAATTTGAAACTTTATAGTTTCACATTAAAGCATTAGTCAGAAATGGTAAACATTAAAGCATTAGGTTATAAAGTTTATAACATTTCCATATCAAGAACCATATGCAGAGTCTAGCAGAGCTCTTGACACAAAACCAATTTCATTTCTATGCAGCATAAACGAGTTGTTTACCAGTAACGGAATTCGGGTACAAAAAAATCATCACAGAAGACCAAATTCGATAACTTCAACAGGGAAACGTTCATGTTTGGATTCATTTACGCCGCATAGATTCACATACTAACTTGCTAAAGTTCTTACAAATTATTAAATAATACTTGAGTTCTTGCACTAGTTTGATCGACTTTGAGAATAAAGTTGAAGACTGCAAAAACTTATGCAGGAGGACCCCTTTCAATCTGTGTTTTCTTTTATTTACATCAATACATGCCAATGAGAACATATAAATACACACAAAATATTACCTTCCAAACTGAAAAGAGGGACTCACCCAGTGAAGGAGAATCAGAAGTATGCTCACAAGCTTCCTCCTCAGTCTTTAGCCAGACAGAAAGACTAAATTTTGAAAATAACCACAACCCAATTCCTAAACCACACAAAATATTACCTTCAAAACATTCACCTCTCTGAAACACCTTGAAATCCCCACAAAGTTGTCCAATTTCCAGCAGAATTCAGCTTCTTTCAGCGTTGAGAAGCTATCCCAGAAAACAGAAAGCAGAAGAACAAACACTTTGGTCTGCACAAACTATTCAGATTAACAAAACCCAGAATTAGATTCCTTCTGGGTAAACCGCAGAAACCAAAGAAACACCAATCAAATGAAGTAGCTTTCATATCCAAAAAGCCAAAATAAAAGCACCCAGAAAAAAGAATAACAAAAAAAAATTAAAATTACAATTTTCAGAAAGTAAAGCGTTGCTGCTGCATGCCCCCACACGAAGGGTATCCAAGTCTTTGCAGTACAAAACGAAAAAACCGCTACTTTTATCTGCTAGTTTTGGACCTTGGGAGAGATGCCAATACCAGTCAACGTGCACGAGGCTCTCTTGGTCTTCCACGACCCCAGAGAGCAAAAGCAAAAGCAACCGTCACCACTTTCTCCCCGTCACCTGCCTCTGACGGCTGTGATGTTCAACGCATGAATTTGGAGAAGGAAAATTTAACCATGTAGCTTAAGCTTGATTAAAACGACTTTTCATATGAAATAATCCAATATAAAGTCGGATAAGATTAATTCAGAAAGTTTCATACTTCGGTCTCAAAAGTATTTTTAAAATAATGTGATCAAACAGCTTTATACAAGTTTTTCGTTGAATGATGGTAGTTTGGTATCCACCGTTGGTTGTGCTGGTTGTGCTGCGTGCTATAGATGAATAAACGGTGAACTTTTGTCATTTCTATCTCGTCACGCGCTTATTGAAGAAGGAGAGAGGATCTTTGTCGGATTATCTTTGTGCAAATTTTAAACATTCTTTAATTACATTTATTTTTCGTATATCGTGCGATTAATTTTTATCATGTACTGTTTATATTTAATTTTAAATAAAAAATTACAATAACTTTTTACCGTACGATGAACAAATATAATTAAATAATTTTCAGAATCTCACAAAAATGATCCGGCTAAGATCCTACTGAATTGACGAAGGACATATAAAAACACCAATCGTGTGGAAGTCTCTCGTAATTTGTGAAGTATAGGGACCAGTAGTAAAACGTAAAAGGAAGCTGCAGTTGCAAATGCGCAGGGAGGAGGATTGTCTGCGCTCCAAGTTTCGGTGCCCTTTCATGCCCTCCTGTTTTGTGTGGTCACGGTTAAGCCACGTTAATATTTTATATTATTTTTTTTATAGAGATAATAAGATAAAAATAAATAATAATATAAAATATTAACGTGGTTTAACCGTGACCACACAATCAGGAGGACAGACAATTCTCCTCCAATGCGCAGACCATATTGAAGAAGACTTCGGAGGGTCGTCAGTACGAGAACAGTAAAGTCCAAATTGGGAAATTATTATAACGACACAAAAATTAGAAAAATGAAAAAAGTCCAAATTACGACCTCTATCAAAAAAAGAAAAAACAAAAAGAAAGTCTCAAACCCTAATTAGTTTCATAACAAAAAGAAATTTTTAATTGTGACGATAATACAAGTGGTATACCACGTGTTTTAATAAGAGTGGTAGGAAATTTTATTTTTTATGTTATTAACTTTTTAGCACATATATCATACTATTTATTCAGTGACATGTGGTCTATCATTCTGTTCATCCGTCTCACTAAAAAAATCTCTCCATAACAAATATCATTGCTGCTCCCACCAACTTTTGTGGGGTGAAATTTTTACTTTTTATGTTATTAACTTTTTAGCATATATATCACACTATTTATTTAGTGACATGTGATCTATCATCATGTTCATCCTTCTCACTAAAAAAATCTCTTCATAACAAATATCATTGCTGCTCCCACCAACTTTTGTGGGGTCTCCCCCCCCAAAAAAAAAATTCCTTGGCTTTCTATGACGGTGAATTGAAAGATTTGGGTTGTAGCCAAAATTTTCTCTATGGTGGTCAATTGAAATATTTGGTTTGTACCACATGGTTCATAATCATAAAGAATAGGAGTTATATGGCATTTTAGCTAAAATTTTCTCTATGGTGGTCAATTGAAAGATTTGGTTTGTAGCACATGTTTCATAGTCATAAAGGATAGGAGTTATCTGTCATTTTAGCTAAAATTTTCATTTGAGATTGTATTTCTTATTTTGGGTCATGAGATTTGAAATCGCTAAACATGGTTCTGAGTTTATCCATCGTCAATCATTTTGATCTTTCAATTAAAAATCTATGTTAGATAAGGAGCAATACGACAAAAATACCCTCATACAAATAAACAATAGGTCAAAATAACTCAAAAATTAAGGTATTTTAGTCTTTTTTTTCCTTATTTAACTGAGATTTTTTACAGAATAGTCAAAATGATTGACAGTAGACTAACTCAAAAACTAATTCTATCAATTTTAATACTCAAAAACTAAGGTAATGAATTATATCAATTATAAAGACTATTTTAACTAAAAAGTTTTATTTGCAAAAACCTTGCGAGGGAGGGGCCTCCGTCTAATTGATCGGTTTGGCTTTCCAAGGTTTATTTTGATTTTATTTTCTTATGGCCTTGGCTTTTGGTTTGTGGGTGGCTTGACTAAAAGCATAAGGAACCTCTAAAAGTGAAGTCAGTGGTGACATGTAAGGTCGAATGAAAACTCAATAGTACAAGAAACATCTATGGCCCGTCACATTTAGAAGAGTAAGTGGAAGACTGTTAGTTACGGTCAGTTGTCAATCCTAGTTCTTATTAAGAAATAATTGCCCGTCACAACTCAAAGAAGCATTTATCCAAATGAATAGTAATTGATCTCAATGAACAGTAAGTGGTTAAATGCATCTTCATTCCTTAAAAACGAGCTGGCCCAAATTATAGTGAATTCGTATTAAAATATTATTAATTTTTTTTTATAAAATATTATTAATTTTTTTATAAAATAATAAATAAAAAAGATTTATTTTTAATTACTGATATAATTTTTAACCAATCTTGTCACGCCACATGTGATTTTCCGAAAGTACAATTTTTGTAGAAGATGGTTAGGTATTTATGTCACATCCCGGCCCGGGTCCCTACCACATCCTGGACTTGACTCCACCGTAGTACGATATTGTCAGCTTTGGGCCCCGACCACGCCCTTACGGTTTTGTTTCTGGGAACTCACACGAGAACTTCCCAGGAATGCTCTCGCCCAAAATCGTTAACTTTGGAGTTCCGATGGAACCTGAAGCTAGTGAGCTCCCAAAAGGCTTTGTGCTATGTATAGATGAGAATATACATATAAGGTTTACAGGATCCACTCCCCTGGACGATGTGGGATGTAACAATCCACCCCCTTAGGGGGCCCGACGTCCTCATCGGCACACCTCCGGCCATGGATTGGCTCTTATATCAATTTGTCACATCCTCGTCTGAGCCCCCACCACATCCCGGGCTTAACTTTGTCGTAGCATGATATTGTTCGCTTTGTGCCCCGACCACGCCCTTAAGGTTTTGTTTTTGGGAATTCACACGAAAACTTCCCAATGGGTCACCTATCGTAGGAATACTCTCGCCCGAACTCGCTTAACTTCGGAGTTCCGATGAAACTCGAAGCCAGTGAGCTCCCAAAAGGCCTCGTGCTAGGTAGAGATGGGAATATACATATAAGGTTTACAAGATCCACTCCCCTAGACGATGTGGGATGTAACAATTTATATATATATATATATATATATATATATATATATAATCGTTTAATTTTTCTGTATTTTTAAACCATTTTTTGTAATTTTTTTATTAAGTTAATTAAGCTGGACAATTGGATTTCAAAAAGGTTGAAATCCAACAGCCCAAAAGTGGACATGTGGCCCACGGTGAGATTCTGACATTTTTTAAAGTCTGGAAGCGTCAGCCGCAAAAAAGTATCAGATGTGGCTGACGCATGATGCCAGATAAGCTAGTTCCTCACTCAGCCCATTCTGGGGTGGACTTTGGGCCGGTCTATTTTGTGGGATGGAGTGAATTTTTAGAGTGCCAGCCTATTTTTTTAAGCTTTGGACCAGCCTCTTAGAGAGAGCTGGAGTTACTCTAATCACTCAGTCTCATTTGAGTCTGACTTGTTTTAAAAGTCTTCTAATAATATTCTCATCTAGATATTTATAATAGGTAAATATTCCCAATCTTCTTAATCTGGTGGGTCAACACTAAGTAGTGATTGACATTAGTGTTAGTTTTATATGAGAAACAATATGGAAGATCTTGCATGTAACATCGTGAACACCACTATCCTCGTCATTTTTATGTATCTCTCGTTACTACATCGGATGCATAGAGATAGAATAATTAGGAATAAATGTTTTGTGTTTACATCACTAGCTCGTCATGTAATTTGTAGAAATAAGAAGATATATTCATTAACACGTACGATTTTCTCACAAATAGCGTGACACGTAAGTCTTTGCCTCATAAATGAGTATCCGATCATAAATGAGTTTCCAATCATATACTCATGCTGGCCATAATTGACATTTTCTCATAATCACTTGTTTCATATATATTTCTATCGAGAAATGCTAATGAGACTCTCAAAAGTGAAATTCTCTATAAACTCTTTGTCACTTTATGTTTTTTGTATAATATTTTATAATATTAGCATGGACATTAACGTTAAACAATAAAGTGATGGAAAGTTCCACTTTGAGAGAATGTTCTTAACATTTCCCTTTTCTTTGTTACAATGGCTTTGATGTTCTATTCTGGCTTGAGCAATAATCGTCGAGAGGCAAGCCTCGTGTCATTGTTCTACTCCAGTAAAGTCAATACCATTTTTTAACCCAATTGTTTCGTTGAAAAGCTTATAAATCTTCTTCATCTTAGTCGCCTTTTTACTTTCTTTTGTTTATGTTTTGGAGCCAACCTCATTAATTTATTTACAATTTACAGTAACATTACATGCCACACAAATGATTTAAAAGCCGACAAATTTCAAAAATGTTACTTGTAACAAAAGTTACCGCGTAGTTTAGTTTTTCTTGAGAGAGTACAAAAGTCTAACAGCTTCAAGCTTAAGCAACATCTGCTACAATTATCCTTAAGACAGAGGTCAACCTTTTTAGTTTAAAATAAAATACGCTCTCATTAGTCATTAGCATAATGTTTGAACAAGAACTCAAATACTTGTTTGAAACAATGAAGCATGCATCGATCGTGCATCATAAATAAATAGTTTTGGGCCTTCGTGAGGCCTAGAAATGACGTTATCATTTTGGGTTCATGTTTTAAAGGTTTCTGAAGATTTATATCAGGAAAAATAAAATTTGTGAAGAAAAATATAGGAGCCCATCTTAGGCATAAAGGGCCGCCATGCATTGCATGCAAATTGAAACCCTAAATGGACTATACCTAACATGAGGTTGATATTTAATAAAGGGTCATTTTGGTTCCCGTTCTTAATCAATTTATTTGTTAGACTGAAATTTTGTTTGTTTAAATATTTTGATTAAAGTCCTTAACATCATTTAAGAGATCTAACTCATGCATTTATGCATTTAATGTCCCACAATAAACAAATTCAAATAATATTTTTAAAATATAATAAATACTGAAAATAAATATTGGAGTAAGATTGTT